GGTTCAGTGACCCTGAAAACCTACTCTCAGAACCTCATCATGCCTGGTTAACCTTATGGGCACATTTTAGTCCCCCTTGATAGAGGGCCAAGCCACATATACAAATCTAAACATACTGCCAGGGGCTACACCCTTATAAATAAAGACACACTCAGGCTACCCCAAGCTGGATGCAAAGTTTGGTAGTATAGGACAAATGACGTCACAAATTAACACAGATCATGCTTTATAATACTAGACTAAATAACATATGTTAACATTGGACTTACTTTGTATTAGTATTGACTAAATAGCAGTTGGAAAAACACTACACAGAGTTTGTATGTTTCCAAACAAAGTTTGGAATAAGTTTTATGGGATTCACTAATAACTAGTTTTCATGGTTTCAAGAATAATATGTACCTTCTCAGTAACAGAAACTAAAGCAATAGAATTTATACAAGTTTTCTCCGTTTTAATTTTTAGCATTTCTCTGTGTTATGAGCTTAGAGAAGATTATTTTTTTTACTTTTCCTCTTGTTTACTTGTAGCATGGAAATGCATCTGATTACTTAACAGACAGCTATGAACAATGATCAAAAATTACAATACACAATTTTTTTATGGTACAGTGGATCTTATAAAGTTGGTAAAAGGCCTATGAAGGATATATGTACTAAACACTTATTTGTAAGCCTACATGCATCATAACAGCAACCAGTGATAATACTACAAAGTTCCAACTAATTAAATCACTTAAATGTTACCTTAGCAAACTGCTTGAGGCGAGAGCTTGGATCTCGAGAGGTGGTGAGTACAATTTTTGGGTCTTCTACTCCAGCCCATCTGTACTCATCATCTTCATGGGATACTATGCCTGAAAGGAAAATGTATTTCAATTCCATTAACAACAAATTAATATCTTGCAATGAATTCTAAATAAAAACTATTTAACTGCACGTACATTTTGTGACAAACTTATTATTATATATTTATTTTAATATCGATGTTTGTTTAAATTAATTTTATTTTTAGAAATGTACATAACTTATACTGTTAAATATGTATTATGCAACTTCTGCCTATTCTCTAAAGTTTTAGAAAATTCTCGAGTGTAAGAATCAACAATATATATGTGTGTGTGTGTGTGTGCTGTAAAACTAGAGTTAGCTTCAGTGTTGTTACGTAAACTTAAATTTGAAGAAACTCTTCACACACCTATAAATATAACCAACGCAACGTGCCAAAAAAGAGTATCTATTATTGGTTTGCTAAACTTTGGAAGCTATAACTGTGATTGATATAACACTTATTAATCGAAAAACTTCATATATTTGACTAGGAACATTTTTAAATTTAGAAAATTACAAACCATTTAACTTCAGTGGACATTAGTACTTTTACCAAAACAGTATTTAACTTCAGCATTAAAAAAACTCTACTTGTAATCAGCGTGTGATTAGTGAGGCCCACAAAGCTAGCTAGCTCCCTGTTAAGTGAATTGTATCTACATGAGCTCAAAATTAATTCACTCATCGTGAACCCTCAATAAGATATCAAGGAAGTTCCAGACTAGAAAGAAGACTTTATATCGCTTGCAAGTTTGTAAAACTTTTGTATATAAATCATTGTTTGTAATAACTAGTTGTAATAACTGTTATTGTAAATTGTATTATTGATTGTATATTCAAATATATTTGTCTTAAAAAAGAAAACTGTGTGTATCAATCTTGTTGGCAAATATCATAAATTGGATACATATTAGCATTTATTCTAAATCTAAATTACAATTAAACTCAGTTGTAGGCTATTTGAAATTGTAATACGTAACAATTTATATTACTAGAAGTATTAAAACTACACTTCCTGATAAAGGTGAGGAGGTTCTGGGAACTCAAATGATAAATGTACTAACATCAGGCATTAATCAAAGCAAGAAATTTTGTAAAGGAGTTCCAAGTATAGCAGATTTCTTAGGTCTGTCCTTCATACATAGTAGTTCCAGAGTAGTCCAGATTAATTCATGATGGTTCAGTTTCTAGTTATTTGTCTAAAACCACTGCTGAATATAGTGTGTGTTATGGAGCCTTCCTTAGAGAGTTTCATCATAGCAGTCAAAGTAGGTTTGTCCATAATATCACAACACAATAAAATAATCATGACTTTATTCATAAATACCAACAAATCAAGTCCAACCCAACTAAAAAAAGGATCATGCCATGTAGCTACTCTACTATTTTTCACATCTAGAACATTACAGTTACATACAAATTTTAAAATTTCTTAAGTCTATTATCAAACCCAGACATGTGTATATGAAGCTTATATCAGAAACAAGATTCACTGCACAATGTGTTTTCTTCCCCAGTTCATCTTTCTAATTTTATTGCTCAAGGCACAACAAGTGCTAAATGTCTGTGATGAAGTTGAAATTCAGATCCATGAGTGATTAACCTTAGTTGAGCAAGATGATACTTCACTTTGGCACATCCATCCATACATTTCTTTAGCATATTAACCACAGAGGATTGGGTGTGAATAAGAAAGTTGAAGTGTCTGAAAGACAAGTTGCCAATGCCGCAACCAATAATCACACCTCTTTGACGGCCTGCGACTCCTTCCTTTGTGTTGTCTTGACCTCACCTTAACTCACTGTAAGTGGCACCAGGTGATCTTAATACAGCATGGATCCAGTATTTTTGGTAATACAATGCATACATGTGAAATTTCTACACTTGGGAATGAGAAATTTTAATCTACATGATCTCATTCTCTTCTTGAAGTTTTATTGATTCGACCTCCTACCATATATTAACAATGGATTTTTTAAAATATGTACCTCATAAATGTACTCTACAATTAGAACCTAAAATCACAGAGCTTATTTAAAACACACAGGACTATTCATCTGACAGAATATTATTTTTTCTGAAGCAGAATAAACAGGGATGTCAGTGAAGAAAAGATAAAGGGGAGAAAACTGTGGCAAGGGAGCAAATGAAGTCTGAAAGGAGGCATATCCTCCCTATCAGAAGCCAAAGCTTTTTAAAGGAAAAGAGCACAAATTATGGAAATATTCTGCGACACGTTAAGAGAATATTGACTGACACGAGATTTTTTTTTTTATCAGCCTTACAAAGAACACAAGAGAATAATGTGATAAAAGGAAATTACATAGTGTTAAATTGGGTCCTATGTTGTTTGGGCACTGACACCCGGCAGTGGCTCTTTTTGTAAAGAAGAATCAATGTCTTTCATACACTGGAAATCTTTAATCTGCTCAATGATAGATGTGACCAAACAGATTTATGATCAAAAACTTTACTGTGTTTGAGTTTCATGGCATTAATAATTTCCTAAAAGCAGTGGCAAAACAAGCTGTGCTGGGTGTGATCAGAATTTCTGCAAGTGTTCCTTCAGGCAACACCTTATACAAATGCCATGTCGAAACTTCTAATTTGAAAATATTAGCTGTTATTATCATACAGATCACATAAATATTTGACTCTTCACAAACTCTAGCCGCACCTTCAGATTTTGCCACTAAACTCGCTTGAATTATGTGGGTGATAAAATCAATGTTGCAAGGGGTGGAAGTTAAACAATTTGCAGAAAATTTATGTCAATAAATAAACTAATTAGTCAGGGAATAAATATATACATTAGAAATATGAATTGGTCTTATTATAAATTTTGTTTTATCAAAATAAAGAGAATGGTCAGTTTTTATACACATATAGTTTTAAAAAGAAATTCCTCTTTACACATCCAAAAAGAAAACAAACATGTATTCATTTATGATTCACCCATGTTATTAATTGCAAAAGTTCCAATATTTTTTCTAAATCCATTAAAGCCAATATTATTTGTTAAACATGCCACTAAGTGTTTATACACAGAAAGGAACGTCAGTTTTTTTTCCAAACATTAAGAATGTAGGGTGTAAAGCAATGATGTGTTTCTTTCAGATAGGTTGTGAGTGATATTAAGTGATAAAATATACTTTTACAGTTAACAAAGTACACATTATTCCTTACCTTCTGCACCTTCATCATCCCAATCCAGAGCCTTCTGTAGAAAAAGAGCATCATTTCTCACTGTTTGTGGAATAGGCCTGTTCTCTAGATAAGTAAAAATCATCTATAATGAATCTTGTAAAATTGCTATTCATTTGATAAAACTAAGCTCATACATAATTCAAATATGTGTCTGAGATTATATTAACACAAGCTATACTTCTACTTCTCTGTGTGGTTGTGATAAGAAAGAAAAAACAACTTTATGACTAAAACATTCTCAAATAAGTAGATTACAAGTTTTTGCCTTATTTATCATTTATAATTACTTACATTCCATTTTGTATAATGGTGAAATATTACTGATTGTAAAAGATTTTCAAAGTTCCTCTTTACCTTTGAAGTTGTTACTCTTATTTATCTTTAAGCCCACAGTATTATATTTTATACTAGCTTTTTTTTTTTAACTAATGCTTTTCATTATCAGCATACTAATTTCTCAATTTACCTACTTTGGAAAGATTCAAGTCTATAAGCAATAAACTCCTTAACAGCCTGTTTACAAGTAGTAGTATGGAAGTATACATTTACATGCATTGCTTATACTTTTATCATTTACATGCATGTCACTCACTAAAGCCCAACCCTTCCTCAATGCTCAAACAACTCCGTACTTTTAGTTTCTTTTTTTAAAGTAAAAACCACTACATTTGGTCTATATAATAGCATTAAAAGTAATTAAACAATAAAAGTACTCAAACAATCCTTTGCACAACAAAATTATCCCTCTTATTTTCCTCGTCTACCTGTAGAAACAAGATCTTACATACTCACATACAAGAAAATTTTCCCAACATTTATAGAATAAATTTGACACCAACAGTTCATTCCTTCCCTTAAGCCTTTTCTAAACGACCAATGTACCTGCTCCTTGATGTTAACCCCCATTAAAAACATGAATAATTATATTATTACTGTCTACCTCTGATCTAGCAGTGAAATCCTTACAGGTCTAACTAACAATTCCTGTCCTTAAGCTTGCTTTAGTTTTTTTGTATCTATTCAATACCTCCAATGCTTTGACTTCAGTTGGCAAGCCCACCAGTTGACTGGTCAAATTTTGTAAACTTTTCTTGTACTTAGTATTGCGTTATTTACATTGAAGATTACATATTGTTCTTGTAACTTCTGAAAGTTTTATTATAACATACAGGTACAAAAGTTCTGGAACTTAACTATATGTGGGCTTTATGCTGATTGATTAACATTTTAAAACAATTTTAGTTGATCAGATCTTTCTGAAACTGTATGCATATATATTGAAATAATAAGATTACTCTAAAACTGGTCTGGTATTGACAGAAATTTTTAGAAGAAAAATGAGATTAGGTACAAGCATTAAAATATTTTATAGAAACAGGTAGTTTTCTATTGTAAAGTAAAGCTAGCATCAATGTAACCAGTGTTAATGAAACTAATGGCAGTATTATTGAATATCTTGTATCAGTTTTAAACAGCAAAGTGATATTTCACTGTTTATGGTCACTGGCATACAATAAAAAACCTTTTACCATACCAAATTATAAGCAAGCCAACATTTTTGTTTAAATTGTTAGTCAGAAGGTTTTATCATCTAATAATTATAATAGGTTTTTTTATAAATGATTTATGAAGAGTTTTCATAATGAACAAACAAATGGGAAATGGGAAACAATTGCGTAGTTCAGTATGTCACTTCTGGAGAAAGTATAAGAAGACTAATCTACGAAATTAGTTCAGATGAATGGACAGTTTTGAAGCACTAATCTATAAGTCTACACATCTTTTCACTTGAACTAATCTTGTAGATTAGTTAGTTCTCCACAAAGTTCGCTCTGAACTAGGCAGTTGCTGCTCATTTCATTTTTGTTTGTTCAAGTTTTAAACCCACATTATATATATATATATATATATTAAGTTGTAAGTGCATGTATTTCTTAGAGTTTTCTAAAAGATATTATATCAATATACAGCATAAATTTTAGTTTCACAGTTGAAAAATATTATAAAGATCCACAAGTTTCCAGTTTAAATAAAATGCTTTTCAACATATTTAGCATTTTCTCTTGCTAGTGTTACATGATATTTACCCTCTAATGCTTTCTTTACTTTCTCTTTTTTTTCTGCTATACTTCTTCTTTTATCTTCAATTGATTTTCTGTAGAGATACTCTCTTCTTTGCCTTGCCTGTCTACGCAACTGAAAAGAAACAAACTATACAGATGAATTCTCACAACTTATTACTATAATCTACTAGTAATGCTATTATAAATTAAAGCCCATAAGTATAAGTATGTAAAACACGAGACTGGGTAAAATTAACTGTAATTTAAATTTTAAGGACTACTAAAATTAGAAATAAATTAATAACTAAATAAGCATATTTTGTACGAGCTACACCAAAATCAAAACGCTTGAAATTTATCATTCAACAGTTTCGTTACTTCAAATTCAATTCCTGGTCAAAACTTCAGCTTACAAGCCTAACATTCTTACAAATACAAGCTACAATACTAATAGTAGTACTACTGTTATTGTTAATGTTACGGTGTTAGGCTTAAGTTGGCAAGTTGTTCAAGTGTGACATGGTTTAGAACATCTGCATTATGTAAGTCATGCTGTAACTTAAAATTAAATAAAAATAGTAGAATATCAGAGAAACAAACGCAGGATACCTCACCATTTCTTAAGCAGTTTATACAAAATTCTATCCTTATGTTATGAAATAAAAATAATTCAGTGGTATTTTCATCACCCCTTAAACATGTTACACATCGATGTCAGCGCCCTCTGTCCCCCTTCAAATAAGATACTAATAGAGCTAAGATTTGTGAGAAAAAAAAAAGATTTAATTTTTTTATTTTGTATTAGCTTGTTTCACGTTCCTCTCAAATTGTCTATTAAATTACAAATTAGAAGTCAGTAAAAATAATATTTTAGATCTAGCTTTTGTCTTCCACAAGTCAATGTCCAAGAATCCTTTCGTTAAATATCAGACCTCTCAAGCTGGGCTTAGACGATAAGTGACAAAGTTTGATATGAAACACTATATAAAATGTATGCAAACAAAAACTTAAAACAAAAGTTTTTAACATCGAAGCTGGTAAAGCATTGTAAATTGGTAGGCTAATTATTTGTCATAGAAAATCACGTTGAACTGCAGTTTTTGGGTTTGCTTCGTATTCTTCTTTTCAATAAGTCCATTTCGGTCAGGTTTGAAATCCTCCAGAACAAGAAAAGAGTCTTGATAAACTGTGAAATAATAAAAAAGGAGAGGCCTAAGAGCTGGTGAATGGTTTCGTGTAATCATACCAGTCACTCACATGCATCAGATAACTGCAGATATTCCACTAGATATATCACAAAAGCGAAGCAAACACTGCCTTGACAACGACATAAGAAGCAGTCGCCAATATTTACATAATTTAGAAACACAGTGGATAGGGAAAAGCTGACTTAGTTCACTTAACAGTTGACAAACGGCAATTCTTCTAGCCCAAGCTTGGGAATTGTTTTATAATGCACGGTAAAAAGTGAAGTGTTTCTATCATTGACAAAATGACATTATTATGAGTTTCCAGAATATTGTGATGCACCAGGGTAATCAAACGATGATTATTTTTACTGATTTAACCTCATTTTGTGAAATAGATTGGATTTTCTCCTAAAATCTTTTTCGCATATGTTAATATTTTGGATACGTTAGTATGACTTATAATTATCATAAATTTATTTGTTAAAGATATTTCTAATTTTACTTATGATGAATATCGTTTTAAGATTTTTAAAGTTTAGAGATTTGATCGATTTTAAATTATTATGCATAAAAAATATATATTGGTAACTTTAGGGCTAGATTAAACTTTCGGGGATCCCAAGCTAAGCTAGAGCGAGGGCCTTTATATATAGGTCCATATGTATTACAGAATTATAGATATAAATAGTATTTGCATATTAAATATTTCAAATTAGACAAACAAAAACAGTACAGCTACAGCATAAAATATTTATTCATACACAACATATGTTTTTTAAGAATAACGTTATATTTTAACAAAATAAAAAATACATTTAAATTATTTTTAATGATTATGATTTTATCTCCATGAAGAGTTCATGAACATTGAACAAATATCTGATCTTTTTTTTGGGAGGGGGGGGTAGGTTGGGGTAAGCTATAGCTTGGTTAGGTTGCTCCTTGGGTAATTTTATTATTTTATTAATAAACAGAGTACAAGCACTCAAAAGAAAGGGAGATATTTATTTCGCAATTTATGATTGAGTGACATATACACTTAATAGCATTACCAAATAAATTTAAGAATTTTAGGACAATGTGTCATATAGAAAAAGGCCTCACATTGATAAAGAATGGAGAGTGACAGACATCCCAAAAGAAATACTGGTATTTTGGAGGTCTTTAGGGTCATTGAAAAAGGTTCCTTTCACGACTTAAAACAAACACTTTTGTGTCGAATAACAAGAGTAGATATCAGACGGCTGAGATTAGACACAACACTTTGAAAAATTATACACCTGCTTTATACTGCCTACTTGGATGAAAGACCATTAACATATACGTATGAGAGTCAACTCATGCTACTAGGCCAAGTGGAGCTGGAGTTTCAAGAAAATGTTGAGCAGCAAAACTCGTTTAATCATTCTAGAAGGACTGAGTTTGTAAAAACTGAAAAGAGAAATCCTTGAAGATGAAATATATCACATTCACGAGCAGAAGTTCAGTAGTACTGTTTACAACTGGATGCCTACCCAAAACTTAGCTGAGGACTGTAGAAGAACGAAATGTTATGAAGAGCCTCCAAGGAATGGGAAAATCCTTGATACCGATAGCCATAAAGACAGGCCTGGATAAACGCTTAGAATATGCATTGTGAGAGTTAGCCAAACATAGATTGGAGAGTAGTAGCATGCTTTCCATTTAGTGTGATAAGAGATATTGGATTATGATGAAGTGGCATTCTGTTGTGACACTTATATAGCTATTAGGAAAAACAGGCTTTAACACTTGGATTGCAAGATGAAGAGTCTATCCTTTAGCTTGTTTTCTTTTAGCATTCATGATGTTCATTTAGGACGATCTGAAACAATTTATAAAGAGGCTTGATGGGTAGTGATATCCAAAAGGCCAGATTAGCAAGCGTTTGCTGTTTACCAGGATGGATTTGTATTGATCCACTGAAAGATCTGTATAAATGATACACCAGAAGATGGAGAAATATTGTAGTAGGACTTTAATAGCTGTTTTATCAAGATCTGATAAGAAGAATTTACACTATAAAAGATAAAACCAAATATCAACGTCATTATTGGTATTGAAGCACTTGCTGTAAAACATATCTTTAAAATATTACTTAGTGAATCCCATTCAAATAAATATATCATTTATTTGAATTGGTAAAATTTTCAGCATTCTTCAGCTTTACTATTTTTCAACAATGAGTGTTAAGCAAGAATTGGCCACGAAGGACATCATGCTTATAGTTGGACTAGCTTCTTGTTCAAGTACTTGCGTGAACAGAAATGACCAATGTTTCAGATTCTTTATGTTTAATAATAATTTGTATTCCTCATTTATCAACAGTTTTGGCTTATTTCACTTCATATTTCATCTTGTATGCTATCTGGTTTTCAAGTCAGACGGGCCTTCAAAGGCTGGGCATATTTCTTAAACGTTCTCAGTGTTGTTTCCACATCGTTTGGTTCATTTTTGTGATAGTGTGATACATAATCCTTTCCAGGTACGATATCTGTCTGGATGCTTTTATGTACTAGAGCTGTAATAAGTCTTCTTGTGTGTAATTATTCTTAAAAACTGCCGGCCATACACGTTTTCTGCTACACAAAAGCCATTGCGAACTAATTATGTATGTGTGGTATTTTCAGCTAAAACCGATTTCCCAACAAGTGTGAGATAGATTATTCTGCAATAACGGCAGGGTTCTCCCAACCAGGAAATTTACGAGGAATTTTGTGATCGAGATAGTTTGACTGGGTTTCTCTCTTTGGGTGAAAAATAACGATTCTGGACTCTTTTGGAACAAAAGCTTTACTTTAAATAAAACAAAAAACACAGTGCACGTGCCCACATTGAACGAGTTGACAGTCCTTTCACCCCTAGCGGGTGTTTAATCTCGTAGTCTTTCTTCCCGCAAGATAGAACACCGCAACACCAAACACGAATACTTTCTAATGAAAAAATACGTCGGCTCTGTAGCTAGGCTAATGGAGAACTGGATAAAGAAAATGTGTTTGAATTCAGAACGTTAACTTGCATTCCTTGTCCAGTGGAAAATGTTACCTCGTGACCTTTGTTCTCTGACAACATTAGTCAGCTATCGTTTCAGTTCACGTCACAATCGACCAGTCAAGGATATTTCAGTTTCAACTCGTTTAACTCAGGCGCAAGCTTCTAATGCAGCTTCTACAAATTACCCTTGTCTGTACAACACTTGTTTTTGACTACATAAAGTTTTTGCACTATTTTTACTATTTTCTTTTTGTGGTAATATGAAACGTCAACAGGATCTCTCAATGCATAAGCTTATATTCTTTTAGCTGCATCATTAGACATGTTTACATTTATTTGGAATATATGCTGGCAATATAGTACTTATAGTTCTTTAAACTGTGCCTAAGGACATTTGCTGTCTGTATTCAAATTCATTCTCTTCATAATTTTACAACCTTCCTATACTGTGGATACTGTTCTATTAGACATTAGGAGTACTTGAATACCACGCTCTCTTTCCAGACAATGAAATGACATATGGTTGACATTTTATTCTTCCTAGGAAGGTATCAGAGCCAACGGTTACTATTATAATTCAAAGGGGTTTTCTTTTCCATGGCACTGAAGTGCTGTCACTGACTACGTAGTACTGAGAGTAACTGATAGTCATAGCCACAATAAGAGGTCGTTCCTCAGTGGTGTCAAATATATATTAAAGCAGCGGCGCAGATATACTAAGACAGGGTCTTTGTAAGAGTGTTCTTTAGAAACTGGAATGTGAACTCAAAAGCGGAGTAATACACGAATTGTTCATCTACTCAGGTTAATTGCGACAATGGTATGATCACGTGACAATAATATGAAGGGAACTGTGGATTTCTTTTGTTTATTCTTTGATTATCTCAGACCTTGAGTGCTTTGATCTTGGCTGTAGAGGCTTCATTTGGGATATTCAAAGTATTTACATCTAAGTTTGGTTTTAATTCAACTGATCTCACTTTATTCTGAATAAGCTCGTTACTTTTGAAATTGGAGTCACAATGAGTCCAGTATCACATTTGTCTACAGGGATAGCAAGCACTGATTTCATTTTCTTCAGCTTCATTTACTATCTGGCTGTGATATTGGTTTGTAAAATAAGTTATCCTGTTTTCTGCTATCTCAGAACTTGACCATCAATCTTCCTTAGTATCGTTGCCACCATTCTGTATCTATGCTGCATACATAAATCACATTTCCAATGACTGAAAATACCTTGAAAGTCCATGTGATACTCTTAGATAAACCTATCATAATTTTATTGATTAAATTGTTTCCATGTGTTTTATTTCATTTCAGAATACACCTAGGAGTTCAGGCTTATAGATCAAGAACATAAATGGCTATGTTTTTGCTAGTTCTCTGAACTTTGCATATTAAACAATGTTTAATAGTTGACCATACCTGTGATCAGGTTAAGCTGTTACTATAACTTGCTGCTCAAGTTGCTCCAGTGCTAAGTCCTCTAGTGCTTCCAGAGTTGGAGCATTTATACATAGAAACACTTTCC